CTGATGGTCCGGGAGTCAGAGACATGTTCTCCAGCTTCACCTGCTGCTTCCTGTCAGACAGGACGTATGTGATCCACCTGCAGATGGAGTCAGGCACAGTGAGCTGGAACAGCTGGTCCTGTAGCAGCTGAAGTCCACAAACATACTTTTACAAACCAAACACTGGATCTAGAATCAGCTTTACAGCAGTACAGCCAGAGAAAGGGTGCCGTTAGCCTTACGTTAGCCACCTTACTACCTCCTTATCTCTGCTGAGAGCTGCACATGCTCAGTACAGACTTTCTCTTCAGCATGATAGCTAACTGTTAGCATACTGGCAACTTACTGTTAGCATACTGACAGCTAACTGTTAGCATACTGACAGCTAATTGCACCACCAGGAGCCCCCAAAGCTACAAAATAAAATAAAATAAAATAAAATAAAATACAGTAAAATAAAAGTCTGAGTTTAGCCTTTGTTGCTGCTGCTGGCTGTCAATCAATAGAAATGATCATTGTGACATTTTGTTAAACTGGAATGCTAAATTTAGATTTTCCACTAAAAAATCTTTTTATGTTTCTGTGCTCTCTAAACTGGAAAAAAACTCCAAAATAGTTAATCTGTAATTGCAGAGGCTACCTTAAGTTCTCATGTTCAGTTTAAGGTGGAATTATTATGGAAACAGTTTTTGAATCTAAATGTTGTTTGGGTGTTTTAAATGAAGCTTTATTTGAGTGATAAGTTCCTTAATCCTGATAACTAAAGTGGGCGGGCGGGGTCTATTTCATGTGGGCGGGGTCTGGTCTCTGGTTGACAGAGAGGAAGTTTGTTTCCTTCAGTTTGACTTCAACATTGACCAGAAAGGAGAGAAATGAAGCTTTATACTCTGCTGCTGTCGATCGCCCTCAGCTGCGGCTGCTCTGCCAAAGGTCAGAACATTTTATTGACTGTTTATTAACTGCTACTTAACTGTTAATAGGTATTAATGGTTTATTAATCCTTAAGAAAAGGCATTAATGGTTTATTTGTCTTAATAACAGGCATTAATGGTTTATTGGTCTTAATAACAGGTATTAATGGTTAATTGGTCTCAATAACAGGTATTAATGGTTAATTGGTCTTTAATAACAGGTATTGATGGTTTATTGGTCTTAATAACAGGTATTGATGGTTTATTAATCCTTAAGAAAAGGCATTAATGGTTTATTTGTCTTAATAACAGGTATTAATGGTTAATTGGTCTTAGTAACAGCTATTAATGGTTAATTGGTCTTAATAACAGGTATTAATGGTTAATTGGTCTCAATAACAGGTATTGATGTTTATTGGTCTTAATAACAGGTATTGATGGTTTATTACTCCGTAATAACAGGTATTAATTAATTAATTAATTTAATTTCTGTTCATCAACAGTAACATTCTAATCACTTAATAATTGCTCATTATTAATTGATTATACAGGGACTTTCAGAATAAAAGGGTTTTGCTCAATAAAAATAAATTATTATTAATATTGTAATATTATCAGCTATTACTGTTTAAACATTTTAAATAATGAAAATACTAAATACTAAATAATAAAATAGAAATACTGACCAATAAGTGCTTGTTTACGTTATTGATCGATTGACTGACATTAAATCAATAAACCATTAAACACGGACAGCTGTACATTGTTCTGATTACATAACTCGTGTTCAATAACTAGGGAGCCGCCCTTAGTCTAAAGCTCTGGTGCTACCAGTCTAAACACCAACACAAGCTAATGAGCTGACAGCAGTGATTACTTCACTGTCCATTAGGAAACTCTGTAAATCACAGAGAGTTGAGGATGTCAGAAGGAAAACCATAAAAACATTTTCTTCATAAAATCTGATCCAGTTTCACCAGAATCACAAAGTTCCACAGAACAGGAGAACAGAGGAACCCTGTTACAGTCCGTGGAACATCTACAGGATAATGTTACTGTAAAGTTACAGAATCAGCTGAAAATATACAGAAAGTGCACACATTTATTTCCACAGAATCTATTTATTGATCTCTGGGGGAAAGTGGTTGCTAAACAAAGCCATTGTAAGGAATACATACATAATAATAATGTCGTTATTAAATTACAATATACAATACTGTAACAGTCGGAGACTGTTCTACAGTACAGATCAGTGTGGATCAATAACTGATCAACATCCTGTCTAACCGTATAAATCAGACCTCTTCTTCTTCTACTACAAGACAGTTGTGGGCTGGAGGTAAAATGTTGTCGCGGTAACCAGTTCCTCCAACAGTCCCACAGTCTTCAACAAAGAAGAAGTGAGACGAGGAAGTGGGATGAACAGAGACCCTCAACACACACACATATTGTTATTGTGTGTGTGTGGTTGAAAATGTGTTTCCTGACTTTCTGAGGTTTCATCACTAACCCCCCCCCTCCACTGAAACCTCCTAACTGCACTTTCTCATGAACATACAAACACAAAGACCTTCTATCTCCATGTTGTCAGTCAGTGTGATTCTGATTGTTCCTGAGGAAAGGAGGAGAAACAATAAACTGATGTATGATTGAAGCAGGTCAGGCACAACAGATGATTCATATTTAATATCAAACTGACTGTAAATTGTTTTAGTAATGTTAAATGTTGGATGGATGTAGAAATATGACCAACAAAACTAAATAAACACAAACAAACAAACAAACCAGAAACCAGCTGTCTGAGAGAAACAAAAACTCAAATCTTCTCTGTCTGTCTGTCTGTGCTACTTTTGAAAACATAACAAAAATGATCAATAGTTGAATGAACAGGGATGGATTTGACATGTAAAGACTTTTAGACTGTAACAACAGCAGAAGCTTCTGTTTCTATTCCCAGAATGCAGCAGGGCGAGCAGGCCGTGGTTCTGTCTGTTACTGTCCTCTGGACCTCACTAGTGTCTCTGCTGGCTGAGTACTGATGAAGCGTTTCAACCACAAATAAAGTGGAACCTGAAGAGTGAGAGGTTTTCTTTGGGAAGTGGGCGGGTCGTAGAACCTTGATCACAATGGTTCTACTGGTGGGAACACGGACTGGTTCACTAGATAGAACCAAGGTTGCTGGGATTCTGAACCAGAGCATATTAGGTCTAAAACACTGTGAGATCCTTCAGTAGCTCCGTCTGTAGGTGTGTGCTGGCAGCGGACAACCAATTATAAACTGCACTTAGAAGCTGCGGACTCTGACCTTTTCTCTTAACACAGCATTCATGAACACAGCACTCACACATCCATGATAAGAGCTTTAATATGACGTATGACCGGGGCGGAGGTCAAATGAATGGTTCAAAAACAATTCTTAAACTGGTTCCGTAGGATAGTTAGTCTAATGCAGAAGTTTAAATTCAGAGTGTTTGATTGTTTCAGTTTTTATTGTTTATAAATGTTTAGTTTTTATTCCTATATGAAAATATTAACAGTTTATAGTTTGATCTGTAATCACATTATTCGTTCCACTCTGTTCAGTATTTTTGCTTCTATATGAACTTTATAACAAAATACCACCTTAACACACAGAGACCTTAAGGCGGGATGGGGGGGTACGCCCTGGCAGACTGCTGACACACACACACACACACACACACTCGGTCTGTTGGTTGTTTCACTTCTCGTTCTGATTGTGAAACTCGATGACGTCAATCTTCAACTGTCACATGAAGCTTCACAACAAATCTGTCTGCTGATTCTGTGATTATTGATCAGCCAGTGATTTCTTTACAGTCACTGATTGGTGATCAGGTTGTTGGGTGGAGGTTTGATATCAGATAATAATTAAAGACTAAAGACTAAATGTGTTATATAATAATTCATCCTCTGTATAATAAGCAGTCCCTAGTCTTTGTGTCGTCGCCATCTTTGCAGTCCTGACTCCGTCGAGTTTAAAAGCTCTGTGATTGGATTTTTGTTTGTGAATAGTTCGGACGTTTGATCACAGAAACAGATATTTGCTAAAGCTGATCTGTGAGAGATTTATGTTGATTTTAATTTAGTTTGTTTAGTGAGCAGGTTAGCAGCTGTTACACCTGCAGCAGTAATGTTACCTGAGAATGTGAAGAAAGGTGCTCGTTCATTAGTGCGCCATCTGCCCCGGTGTATTTATGTTTCCTATACGTGACGCAAACCAGCGTTACGTAGTTAACGTTGTGGGAGGAGGTCAGGGTTAACCTGGCTGTTGATTGGAAGAGGGAAGACACTTTCAAAAAATACTCAGCAGGTGATTGGATGAACTCTCTGTCTATCAGCATCTATCAACCAATCAGATCAATGAACCACATAAAGTATCAAAGAAAATATCTTTTCCATCAATAATAGTCCTAAATGTTGCTCTTCGTTCTTCTTTCAATAAGAGCAGCAGCTATGCTAACCTCTTTAGCGGCCATTGTTGTTTAACCTTCTCATTGCGTCCTACCGCCAGTCGTTCCTCGAAGGATGAGGACTGGTCGAAACTACTGTGGTTGGACAGAGCATATAGCTTAAAGTCTGGAAAGATGGACTCTCTTGTGATCTGGTGAGTCCAGCTCCTTTGTAGCGTTAGCTTGTGATGAATGACAATAACAGGACTGTCACACAGGAGGAGGGGGTTCAATTCCTGTGTGAAACAGAATCTACCATGTGTAGATCATACTGTTGCATACTAATTAAGTTAGTTAGGGTTAGGGTTAGCTCAGTAATGTTAGCAGCTAACAATGAGTCAGCATTTTACCCTCAACTGAGTCTGAGAGGAGGTTTGTCTATTTGTAATGTTTTGTTAAATCAGACAATGAGAATGAGAAACATATTTTTATATTATTATGAAGTGTATTAAATGTGTGGCACTCCATACACAGATCTATGGCTGCCTCACAGTGCCACAGTGTCTGTCAACTATTAGCTGAGACATCCTACAATCAAAACAAACATCCTCTATTTTAACTGGACCTTTATTTTAAAAATCAGAGGAGGCTGAATGCTGTAAACTGAAGTTTTGACTTCAGTCGTCTTCACTGCAGGTGATCACCATGACAACCCACCTGCTGCCATGACGTTGGGCGCTGCCCTATCAGACATGGATCCCCCCAGTACGAATGTGGACACCCTGCCCCCCAAGCTGGCAGAGCTGGTCCAGGATCAGCAGCAGGAGGCGCCGTGGAGGAAGGAGCTCCTGGATCTGCTAAAAGAGCTGGTCCAGGTCCAGAAAGAGGTCGCCAAGGGCCAGGTCCAGGTGGTCCAATTGCTTGGTGTGCTGCAAACTCAGGTGGGTTTAGTTTGGTTTAAGTTTAAGTTTTAGTTAAGTGTAGATATGATTTAGTTTATCTGAGGTTTAGCTTAGTTTAAGTTTAAGCCAAGTTGAGTTCATCAGAGTGCTATGTATGCTGGGAATTTGGGTGGGTTTAGTTTACATAAGGTTTTGATCCGGAATAGTTTAGTGTGGTGGTAGTGTGGTTTAATATAAAGTAAATACATTATAAAGTTTAACTTTAATTTTAAGATGATTAACTTATCTTAAAATTAAGTTTAAGTTTGAATAGAATTTTGTTTATCTGAGGTTTTGTTTACTTTCATTTAAGTTTAGTTTAGTTGAAGTTTAGATTTAGTTGCTCGGCATGCTGGGAGCTCAGGTCAGACATCCAGTAGGACTATTTTAGAGTCAGTGTCATTGAGTCTGTATTCCCAGAACAGATACAGTCTGATCTGGTCTGAGCTACAGGGACTGTTCCATCTTGTCTGACCCAGTTTGACTGAACTGATGTTGTGTCCCCAGGGTTCCCAGCAGATCCAAGATCTGCAGAACGTGGCTCGACACCAGAGTCTGCTGGTTGAAAACCATCAGGCTTTACTGCTGCAGACATCCCGCATCGCCACCCACCTGCAGGAGGTCACCAAGAAACCTCCTCAGAGTAGCCAATGAGGTCCTCTGATTAGACAGTGGAATATGTTGTGGAGTGGAGCTGACCAGTGATTCCTTTATACCAGCTAACCAATGAGATTGAGAGGTCAGTTATTAACCATTAACATACTGGTTGTCAGTCAGCTAATCAATAATCAATGAGTATGTTGATAGATTTAAAAATATTGATAATCAAATGTCATCATTAATACTAGTTTTATCCAGTGAGACTTCCTGTTGTATTTCTGCTGTATCGTCTCTTCTTCTCTGATTTTAAATAAAGTCATGTGATATCATTCAACCAATTGTGGTGTTTATGTGTGCTATAATATTATATATATATATATATATATATGAAGATCATGGCCCAATTAGAGACCTGGAACCCCCAACGAATACCGAAGCTGACTTGTAAAGT